CCCCCTTGTTTTGGGTGTTGTTGCAGTAGAATTATTGAAATGCCATTACTGTAAGTAAAGCTTAGGCATGACAATGGTTTTAGGAACTTAACATGAAATGATTTTTCATTATAAACATCAAAGTTTTATTTGCACAAAGATTCATATGCATGAGGAAATATGGTTTTGCCAACACATGGATTAGCAGGAAATGGATACAATTTGGTGTCACCATAAGAATGGGTCATTGCACAGACAGATGAGAGACAACTGTCACTCCAAGAGTTGCCTTCTAAAGCTGACAAAAAGGGGTCAGAGCAGAACTGCAGATTGAGATTGGAGTGGGTTGAACTAGACATAACAGGTCACAATCTAAATTAATGCAGGAGAAAAGACAGCCTTGTATGGCCAAGGCAGCTACAGAAGTGCCACTGCCACACGTTTTGTGTTGTGTCTGATACAGTTTGTGAGGGAATATCTGAACCCACAAAAGTTATGCTCTACCTGCCTTTATAAGTGGATGAGAATGTGAAACAAGTGCACTCACTGAGAAATGTACAGGTTAGTTTTGTGCGCATGAGGAAGAGATGCTGCCTTTGCTTGTCTTGATGTCTTGATCTATGGAGTAGTGGTAGAAGAGCTATTTGTATGTACATGTGTTTGAAGAATTAATCCTCAGGTGCATGACTCAGAGGAGCAGGCTGAGGACATTTTAAACCAGGAAGGTTTCTTGGATCTGCAGAACCCAATGAAACTGAAATGACTCCAGGTTTACTTAATGGGGTAGCACAATGACTTTTAGAGGAAGGACTCTGCAAAAATCTATATAACCTGTTGGCATGAAAAAAACCTTAATGCTAGTTGCTTATGTCTAAATGAAGAGAAATACATGACTACTTTGTATTTTAGAATTGAGATGGGAGAGGAGCACAGTGTGTAATGCTGAGATGCCACAAAGGCTGTGGCTGATGAATACTGACAGGCTGCACGTAGGTGGAGGATGAGTTTTGGAGGTGTCTTGGCCAAGATGGGTAGATTTCATGTCAGCAACAAAATGTTCAGGGTAACTTCACCGCTACATTGAGAAAATTCAAATATTGGCTTTGAAAGATAGAAGGATCTGGGACAGAGTGTGTTTCCCCCAAACTGACCTCCTGAGAAAAATAACCTCTAAAAAGAAAAGATCTTAGCTTTTAAATGTCTTTTAAAGCATTCAGTAATGCTGACAAGTAGAGTGATGCTCAGAGTGAGAAGAGCTGTGCCAGTGGTGGAGGGTATTTTATGCTTTTTAACCTTGGCAGCATGTTAATCAGCCTTGGTATGTTGGAGGCAAGTAAGAGACTGTCAGATTTTTTTGCCAATACAGAGGGAGGGGTTAAAAGTAGACAACTTTTCAGTTTTTTCACATTTTTTTCCTCTTTTTCAAGAGTCATCATTTTTGCATGATATCTACTACCACTGTAGGATTTGTAGTGCTTGATGCTCTTCAAAAGATTAGTATTTCACTGGAAAAGTCATAAAGAAAAGGCATGAAATTAGAGGGGTGTATGTCTTTTCTTTCTGTTTTGAACATGTTTTCCCTAATGTTTTTTTTTCTGCGGGGATAATATTTTTAGTAAAAGAATAGCACCTGAAGTTGTAGATAACCACAAGAATTAGGGTTGAAAGTCTATGGTTTAATTTCTTCCTGAATCTAAAGTCATCATTTCTAGTGGATTTAACTGTATGTTTGTAACCATAAATGAATGAGTTAAAGATATTTTGGGTAAGGCTGCCCAGTAGTTCTGCTGTTGAGGTTACCATACAAGATCCTTGGCATATACAATCTCTGTGAGATGCCTGTATGGAGACTGGCTTAAAAATCTCTAATAAATTTAAGTTGGGATTCCTCAAATGGCCATCACTGTACAAATTAAAATAATGAAACATTGCATATTTAGTTGTCTTTTATCTACTATTTGTATTTAATTATTTTGTGAGGTAACAGCTCAAAAATATATTTGGTTTAAATACCTTATTTGAATTCATTAAATTTATTTCCCAGATTATTCTTTGCTATTTTTAAAAGCCTCTAAACATGTCTTCTATACATGTGTGTTAAATTGATGCACTGTTGGTGTATTTTTACTGTTGTAACAGGAAAAGCATTCTGACTTCTTTTAAAATGAGCAATCATATGTATAATCAACTTGGTTAAAACTTCCTTCCTGGTAAGTGCAGCACTTCCTTTGCATCTGGATATGAGAGCGAGCAAGAAAAGCAGAACAGCTTAAACAAAGAAATTTTTTGTGTGAATGATCTTCTTTTAAAAAAATAGGAACTACAGAATTTAAACAAATGAGTCATCTTCGGCAATTCAGCCTTTGTTTTATAAGCAGGTAATATTTCCTTATACTTTGTCAATTATAGAGGTGGTGTGTCCACAGTTACTGCTTTCTGGAAGTCAAAAGAAGAATTTTAGTTAGCATTCTATGTTGTTAGAGTTTAATATTTTATATTTTTATCTGCTTCTTTTATTATCTCCTAAGGCATCATTACACTGGCTTTACTTTTCTCCAGCAGTTAAAGATTTTATGTGTAGAAAGTGTTGCTTGGAAAAGAAGTTCAGTATGTTTCTGTAACTTGGCTTGTGCGAGTGCACTTGATCAGCACTGAATAATTTCCATTTTAATATTGGTCAATGGAGATTAACTGAGTGTGCTGGTTTTGTATTATACAATATTTTTTGTTTAGTGAATGCTGATAAGGTAGGCTACTCATGTTTAATATTGTTTTACTGGTGTTTTAGGTGTGATTTGATGTATAGAGTAATAAATCAGCATCAGCTTGGGTGATTTTTCTTCTATAACTAGCAGTTCATGTTGGCAGTGTGTACTTTGAAAATGGATGGATATTATCAGTCTGGTGAATTAATTTATTTAAAAGAAGCGCATCTAAGGATACTCACCTTGAATTTAGATGAATGTTAAAATATATCTTCAGAAATAGTCCCTGATTTTGCATCCTAAGGGCTTTTTTTAGGTTGAAGTCCTGTTTCCTCATCACTAAAAAGAGAGGCAGAAGAAACTGGGAATAGGCTCATGTCTGTCCAGACTGCAAATAAACTGCTTGTTTTGTTACTTTCTGCCATTCCTGGAGCTCAGTGGGACTGCATTCTATTCATATACAGGAGTGTGTCTTTTGATTTCTATGAAAACCCACTTATGTTAACATCAGCAGCATCAAAACAGATGAGACAGAAGTAGAATCAGTGCTTGATTGAATAGAAGCAAGAACTAATCAATATGGAGGTTGCACATTCAAACTGCTTATTCTCAGTAAAATCTGGGCAGGATATTTAAAACCTCTATTTTAATTACTTAATCACTGGAGAGCTGGTTGGAGATTTTTTTATTTATATTTGGTATTGAATTGAATAGATTGCATCTGAAGTGGTTTATGTAAATCAAGTATTTGTGACCAGAAATTAAGTGGAAGTAGAAATAAAAAATATATATGAAAAATTAGAAAGTAACAGTAAAGATAAATGTAAATGAGAAAGTAATCAAGTAATTGTATGTTTTGCTAGATATCTTCTGGCATGGAGTTGGGGGATCATGAACAACCTGTTGTTATGAGAGAGGAAAACAAACGAAGGAGAAGAAGAATGAAACCTCATTGTACATCGAGTAGTTTTTCATCAATGGAACTGATATCCATTGAGTTCATTTTACCTACAAGCAATAAACATACTAAAGCACCAGAAATTATGTTACTCGAAATAGCTGGCAACTGTACGGTTGAGCAAATGAAGGCACAGATTTGGATGCGTGCAATAGAGATGAGTCAAACCACAGATTTCTACCATGCATTCACGCCAGATCAGTTTATTCTTCAGTATCAGAAGAAAGGGCAATGGTATGAAATTTATGATAAACATCAACTATTACAGACTTTGGACTGCATATTATACTGGAAGGTGTTACAGAAAAAGGTAGGCAAGATCTATGTTGTCCAGAAACAAAAACCATCAGAAGAAGTTCAGGAATTTCAGCAGCAACTTAATGATTTAATTGGTTATGATGTCACTGATGTAAGCAATGTGCATGATGATGAACTAGAATTTACCCGACGCAGATTAGTCACTCCACGAATGATAGAGGTAGCCTGCAGAGATCCTAAATTATATGCAATGCACCCATGGACTACATCTAAGCCACTCCCAGAATATTTATTTAAAAAAATCACTAATAATAACATTTTCATAATCATACATAGAGGAACAACTAGTCAGAAAATTAAAGTGTCAATAGATGACACTCCGGATATGATTCTCCACAGCTTTTTCACAAAAATGGCAAAGAAAAAGTCTTTGATGGACATTCCTGAAGATCATAGTGAACTGGATTTTGTTCTCAGGGTTTGTGGCAGAGATGAGTACATTACTGGAGAGACACCAATCAAAGATTTTCACTGGATAAGACAATGCCTTAAGAATGGGGAAGAAATCCACCTTGTCCTTGACAATCCCCCAGACCCGAATGAAGATGAGGTTCGGAAGGAGGAATGGCCCTTGGTGGATGATTGTACAGGAGTTACAGGGTATCATGAGCAGTTGACAATAGATGGGAAAGATCATGAGAGAGTCTTCACTATCTCTTTGTGGGATTGTAATAGAAAATTTAGAGTGAAAATAATTGGCATCGATATCCCAGTTTTACCAAGAAATACTGATCTTACTGTATTTGTAGAGGCTAACATTCAACACGGGCAGCAGCTCCTTTCACAGAGAAGGACTTCATCAAAGCCTTTTACTGAGGAGGTTCTGTGGAATATTTGGTTGGAGTTTGATATCAAAATCAAGGATTTGCCTAAAGGAGCACTTCTGAATCTTCAGATATACTGCGGCAAAGCACAGGGACCATCTGCAAAGACAAACCTTCAGTCACATGAATCCTCTAACTCTGATGCAAAATGCAAAACCCAGCTTCTCTATTATGTAAATCTTTTGTTGATAGATCACCGTTTTTTGCTACGAAGTGGGGAGTATGTGCTCCACATGTGGAAAATTCCAGGTAAGGGGGAAGAACAAGGAAGTATAAATGCAGACAAACTCACATCAGCAACTAACCCAGATAAAGAAAATTCAATGGCTATCTCTATTGTGCTGGACAAATATTGTCACCCAATTGCCTTGCCCAAGCATAGGATATCATCAGACCCCCAGGGGGACAGGACCCGAGCTGAAATGCCCAACCAGCTTCGCAAGCAACTTGAAGAGATCATAGCAACTGACCCACTTAATCCACTTTCTCCTGAGGACAAAGAACTGTTGTGGCATTTTAGATACGAGAGCATAAAGCACCCCAAGGCATATCCTAAGCTGCTTAGCTCTGTGAAATGGGGACAACAAGAAATAGTGGCTAAAACATACCAGTTGCTAGCTAAAAAAGAGATTTGGGATCAGAGCACTTTAGATGTTGGACTCACAATGCAACTTCTGGACTGTAACTTCTCAGATGAAAATGTCCGAGCAATGGCAGTTCAAAAATTGGAAAGTTTAGAAGATGATGATGTTCTTCATTATCTTTTACAGCTTGTGCAGGTGAGGTGTATTTGCATTCCTGAGCTCTGCCTTCCAGAAATATATTTGCATTACCCGATAATTTACATTTCCTATTTTAATAGGTCTTGTTAGTATTCCCTATTTTTGAAGTCTTCAATGTTTAGTCAAAGCAGTGGTAGTAACCAGATTAATGCAAAATACACTTTTTCTACTTTTTGTCTTTTGCTTTTGTTGATGTTTTTGTGGTACCATTGCTTTGTGTCTTATGATTTGCAACTTGTTTTTACAGTAGTAATTTTTTCTGGAAATGGTTAATGCCAGTACAGCTGTGATGGGAATAAATCCTAACTGTGCCATCTGCAATCCTGTTCATATCGGGTCTGAATTACACAGCACTGAAGAGTTGTTGACTGACTTTACGGATAATTTAGATAATTTAGAAAGAGTGTAGATAGAAAACAAGCAAATGCAGATGTTGACATGGGCAAAGCCTGAAGGAAACTTTTAGGTCAAGAACACCAGTGGATGCAGCAACTTCAGTCTTGTGCTGTTAAGGGGAGCAAATTTAGCTAGAAATTCCCCCTCCCCCAAAATTTTGAAAATAGCTGAAGAGTTGACAGGACTACATCCTAAGATTAAATCCTTCTAGGAACTTGGATGCAAAATTGTGGTTCTAACAGCAAGGAATCACTGCTGTATTGATTTGAAGCACTTTTTGTGTGCATCTGCCAGATCAAATCCTGGGAAGGTTTATATCAGTTACACAAGAAACTTGGTTTGGTTGCTCTTCTCTCAAGATGATGCCATCAGCTGGCAGTGGCAAAGTCTCCTCTGGTGTCTGATGGAAGGTGTAACCTTGTATTCTTTCTGGTAAGCACAGCCCCTAGAGCCAGGTAGGTCTGCAGGTCTTCTACACCTGACAGGGCTGTGTTTTGCAAGGAAAGACTGTTATTCTTCAGAGCAGGAAATTCTTTTTTCAAAAAATCAGAGAACAACATTCAAAATTAAAAAAAAAAAAAATGGAACTACTGCAGCTAGCCACTTTTTATTTCTGCAGGTTCAGAGAGAACCCAGAATCCCAGGAAAATGAAGTTAGTATTTCAGATTATGCTGCACATTGGTAGTGCTTTCAACAAAGCCTTTCTAGCCTTGTCTTTGCTTGTCTGAAGATTAGGCAGAATTTATGCACTTCTGCATTAACTAAAGGAGTTGCTACGGTTGCCTCATTGGGCCTCCCACATAGCTGCTGCTATATATATTCTTGGCTTGTGAGCTCTCACTGTCTACATGTGGCTCAGCAATTTTATTCACTTCTTTTTTATATCTGAATTAGGAGTTTGAGATGATGATTGGTTGCTATCAAAATGCCTGAGAAAAAAGGGGAAATACTGGGGTTGTTTCCCTTTTTTTTTAAATTGTTTGCTTTGAAGAAGTACAAATCTGGTGAGTTTTAAAAATAATAAACCTTTCTAACAGTTAAATAAAATACTGTAGCATAAAATAATAGTGCCTTAAGTTCACTGTGTCATTTTTAGTAAATGGTGGTGTAAGAAATAATGAGCTTACCATCCTTAAAAATGAAAACCATGCTAGATTCCAACTTTTACCTCTCTGCTGCTTTCCTTGTCTTTATTTCTTAGCTAACTATGGAGCATAAGCTGTCAGCATTCTGCAGCAAAGTTTTGGTATGACAGTGTATTTAAAATCTACATTTTTCAGAGAATGGATGTTGGCCATTCCTCTGCTCCAGTGGACACATCTCTTCTGCGAATGGTTGTCACTTTTATGAAAGCTCTATGGCTTATTTCACTCTGCACAGGATATCCCCATTTTATCTTCTGTGGAGTTAGAAATCAAGCATTTTATTTCCCCACAAGTTTATTTCAAATAGAAGCAGCCACACCATAAATCAACCTATTGAGCTTCCTATCTCTGTTCTTCTCTGTACAGTTGATAAACCATGGATAGGATAGTTAAAATGCAACAAAATTCTTTGTAAGATAAACACCAATGGCTCTACTGCATGTATATGGTGCTGAGTAAAGGCCCTCTGCTGAACTGACAAGGAAAAGGTCCACACAGGGACCTGGTGTAGTGCCAGGAGATATTTTTTAATGACCATCTTTTATTGCTGGTGTGCAAAAGTTCATATTTGACTCTGTGAAGAAAAAAGGGCTGGATTTTTAAAAAACATCAGCTCAGTAAGGATGGTCATAATACATTTTTTAATGTTGTTTTATGTTAAAATATTTTTGCAAGTTCAATAAGGAGGTTTTGTTTGAAGTAAAGGTCGGTTTTTTGACTGTATTTCAACCAAAACTTGTTTTTCAAGGTCATGCAAACATTAAGCATAGTATATACCAGAGTGAGGTTTATAACAGGCTTTCTTGGAACTGTAAGAAAATCCATTTGAATTTTTGTGATAATTATTGCTTTTGGGCACCTTACTGCAGTGGAAATTAATTTCCATTAAAAACCCCTCATGCCTCATAATCTCATGCACAAAGTAAAAGGATGTATATATTGTTATATTTGTGAATTCTCATTGTCTTTCCTAAATAAGATGATATTGTTTGGGATATAAAACAGTACTGCAGAGACAGTCAAGACAGTTCTTGCAGAATTATGATACAGGAGAAGGGCAAGTCTGGTGCTTGGCTTTTTTGTCTGTCTGGTGCTTGGCTTTCTTGTCTTTCTCTTAGCCAGCAGCTAGGAAGAACATGTCTTTGTAACATTTTTATAAGTTGCCTCATTCAGGAAGGTTGACTTGATTTTTTTTTTTCTTTTGATTAAACCCACAGGAGAATTTACATTTCAGAAATCATATTGATATTTTAATAATAAAAATGCAACTGTGTGCCACAGTAGTTGTAAGAGTTTATAACACTATGATTTCTTTGATGAATTTAGCAGACCTTTGCTGATGGCTTGGTTGCTTCTTTGCAAGCTGCAGACTGCAGTGATCTTGAAAGAGCCATTCTATTCTATTCTATTCTGTTGAATAACTGTTGCATACTTTGTTGCTTCTGAAAGCTGAGCATACTACATGCACCCAGCTCTCTGCGCATCCCTTTGTTTTCCCTTAATCTCCCTACAGGCTGCTTCCTGGCACTCTATTTCCAGAAGCCAAAGCCATTCACCAACCCCCTCAGTCCATGACAGGGATTTTGTGACTCTGATTCATAGACTGTATGCTTCTTATTTCTCTTTTGTTGCCATGGGATATAAGTGCATACTTTTTTTCCACCATTAATCTGAATACAAACCTTCTATAAGCTTGAATTCCTCAAGCAACATGAAAGAAGCTTCTGGAAAAATGAGTTGAAGTGGAGCAGTTCCCTGGTACTACCCAGAATTTGGAAGTGTGATGGTTTTCTGGTAGACCAATTCACTTGGTTATTGGGATGGAGGGGAGAATAACAGAAAAAAAATTCAAATGCTGTTGTTTGCTTTCCCCCCACCTCCATTTTTGGCAGTAACTTGGAAATGTCTGTGGGCTTGGGTGGAGGGGAGCAACTTTTGAAAGAGAAAAAATACTTCTGTTTTCGCAGTAAGTAAAAAACAAAAGGTCTGGTCAAGTCTTCCTCTTAATTGTATTTCATTATTGTAGGATGTGTATCAGAAGTTTTATTCTGTCACCCATTTACAGAGTAAAGGCCAGATAACTGCTCTAAAAAGCTGCTCCTTTATCCTGTTTTTTTCTGGGGAATCCAGCAGTGAATCCTAGTCTCAAAGTAGCGGATGTTGACCAAAACCAGTATTTTATTATTGAAATGTTTTATTAAAGAGCTGTTAGAAATACATTATTCCATCTGACAGTAATCATTTCAAGCATTCTCAGTATCAGTCATACTGCAGACTGTTTTTTTATCTTTCTGTTTTTTGCCAAGAATGATGTTGCTTTTTGCATATGCTTAGGTTGCACTCTGGTTAGGTAGTCCACACCATGCATTATCATATTAATAATAAACCTGAAAAGAACCTGTTGCAAAGAAAATGTGCTTCTTGAATCAGACAGAGAAGCCTGAAAAAGACCTGCTTTGTTATACATTTTCTACTCCTGCAGCAGTATGTTCTCTAGATGTCCTTGGTTAAGTCAAAGCAGTGTTAAATGTGTTAACAACATTTTCTATGTTTGTATTACTCAGGCTGTGAAATTTGAGCCATATCATGACAGCGCATTAGCCAGATTTTTGCTGAAACGTGGTTTGAGAGTAAGTACTTCAAAATACAGGCAACTTATGCTGAAGTTGCTGGCATTATTAAAACCCTTTGTCAAGAAATGAATGCTAATTTTTAGTGTTTTTCTTTACCTGTAGAACAAAAGAATTGGTCACTTCTTGTTTTGGTTCTTAAGAAGTGAAATTGCCCAGTCCATGCACTACCAGCAGAGGTTTGCAGTCATCCTTGAAGCCTACCTTAGGGGCTGTGGAAAAGCAATGCTGCATGATTTCATGAAGCAGGTTCAAGTAATTGAATTGCTGCATAAAGTCACAATGGAGATTAAATCCGTTTCTGCAGAAAAGTATGATGTTACTTCTCAAGGTATTTGCTAACAGGCATTTCTTTGTTGTTAATATTGGTTTTTTTCTTATGGTGTGAAAAACTAGGCAGCAAATTGTACTGTTCATTAAGAAAATCTGTAGATAAATTGCTGTCAAAGGGAATAATTTTTACTTTCTTTAAAGTGTGAGTGTAAGTTAATAATGATTGAACCAGTAATAGATTTGGTTGCTCATTTCACCCCAAAAGGGGAAGAATATCAATCTTCTAGACACCCAGTACTTTCCCAAGCTTTGGCTTATCTTCTTCAACCTCATGCCATGCCAACTGGAAAACAGATAAGTTCTTGTACATTAACTGAATGCCAGTGCTAAAGAAAGACACAAACATCAACTGGAAATTAAAAGTGACACTTAAGAAATATAATCTTCCTGTAAACTCTCACTAGAAGATTTTTGGCAGGAAGATCAGGGAGGAGTCCAGTGCAACCTCTGCTATGCCACAGAAGTAACTAGTGGATCAGGCGTGAATATACAGGGCACATCTTTGAGGAGTCCTGTGAGACAGATGTGGTATTGTTATTTCAATATTTATTGCTATTTCAATATTTGTTGGAAGTCACAGTAGGGTTATGCAATGCCTCTTTACCTCTGAGTTTTGTCTGCCTTTTCCCTCCCCACCTCCCCCCCAACTTTCTTAAAAGTTGGTTATCCTCATTCCTGTTGCTTGCTTGGCGTTGGGAGTAAGTTCAAGAAGACATATGACAGTATTAAAATTTTAAAAGCTGTAGAAAGACTACGTCTCCCTGCATGTTCAGTCTGGTATGCTCCAGGCCAGGAAGTCCTTGGATTGGAAAGCTTTTCCAGTCTGGCTGTGCAGAAGTGACTGTGGCGGTGTTTCAAAAGGGATTTGAAGGAAATACGAATTTATTCTTCAATATATAATATAAAATCTGTTATGTTACCACATAGCGTGAGTTAAGGGACTTATTAAAGCCCCATATAAAACACTGTTTCTAAGCAACTTCCTAAATTTTTTCTTAAAATATTCTATACTCTAAATGTATTTAGTCAGAATCCCATTATTTTGGAAAGAAACGATACCACCTTGCAGATGTACGTGTCTGTAAGAGCAGTGGATTCCATAATACATTATCTTTGAAGGATATGTGGGAAAAGAAGAAAAGCTTCAAGGGAAAGCAATCATATTAACACCCACCAGATTTTGAAGTTAAAGAATCTTTGGATGTAATGTACAGCAGAAACTGAAAGATGACTTATATAATTGACATTTTCACTGAATAAGGCTTCCTGAAACTGTGGAATGTCCTAATGAGACTATATCTGATGTAATTTATTCTCAAATTACTGAAGACATATTTTTTCTACAGGCACTCTCTACTTCTTTTATTTTTAAAAGCGTATATCCTAAAGTTTATTCTGTAGGTTATTGCTTTGTTTTTGTCTCAACATTTCTATGTTCATCATTGTTCATATTTTCATTCTGAATGTTTTGTCCTGTTTCATTTCATTCTGTGATGCAGTCTCGTCTGATTCTTGTATATATGTTTCTCCAGTGTTTGTAGATTCCTTCCTACTAGGTCCATACTATTCCAGTAGCAAATATGTTGTCAAACTATTTCTTTCACTTTTCACTGTAATCTCTTTGCTTATATTTGAAGATAGCAAGGAATAATAATTAAATTAATTCTTAAAATCATAATATTACATCTTGCATGGGATTATCTGCTTTCATCACCCTCTGTGCTAGATGATTTGTCTCCCAAGAATGTGTCTATGCAGCTGTTCCATCACTTAAAATGCATAGCACTTTCTTCTTAAGCCAGATCAACTTGAAAATTGTTTTAGGAAGTGCCTTTAATTGTGTCTTAAAATCAACTATTCCTAATCTTTTGTAGCTTCAGTTTGTTTGCTTACAGTTTTCAAATTACATGACTTTATATTTCAATACTCATCCTCTGCTGAGTAGCTACAGTTTCTTTTAGGACAGTGTTCAGGTCTTTGCTCTGATACAGGGTAATAGCCAGTGTATTGCTTATGCTGCTGGCACTCACTAGCTGAGGTGAGCAAAATACATCATGCATTGTATAATCTATACTGTACAACTATATGAGTTGAAGTTTCAGAAGCTTGAGGTTTTATTAAGTCAAAGATTGTGTTTAGTTATGAACATTAAAATTCTTGTTCATATCAATATGCAGCAAATTTTTTTTCTTACAGGAATGTGAGATTTAAAAGGCAGAACTATGAAACCAGCTCTAGGAGGATAGGAAATTTAGTGTCTCTGTAGTTTGTCTCATTATGGTTACAGAGTAATTGATTCCAGGAATTCAAAAACCATGAGTCTGCATTTCTTGTCAGTTATGAGGGAAAATACTTTCTGGTGTGTTCTACTGTGTTTTGTTTTTTAAATGAAAGCTGACATTTTAGTGTAAACTCTTACTGTGCAGTGTTTCTAATACTGCAGAGAAGGCACATGACTTCTGAGGTTTTTGAAAACTTTACCTTTAGGTATCTAAAACAGCCCTGACCATTGATAGTGCAGGTTAAAGAGTTTTCCTCCATTCCTTGGGTCAGGAGACGCAGGAGGGAAACAATTTAAAATGGCAGCTAAAGTGAGCTTTTTAGCCAAAGTATAATGCTCAGCAAGTTTGATTACCTATAACCTGTTTGCCTTCCAATGTTTGATTTCATTGTGTTTTCTTTCTTGTAGTTATTGCACAGCTGAGACAAAAGCTTGAAAAATTACAGGGCAGCAAACTTCCAGAAAGTTTTAGAGTTCCATATGATCCTGGGCTAAGAGCAGGAGCACTAGTGGTAAGTATATTCTGATTTTCTACAAATCATTTAAAAAAAATATTATTTGCAAGTATGTGTCACTTTGTAAAAAGTTTTGCTAATGTGTCAAAATGTCTTATTTTTCTGTGGATACAATGCCATTGCACCGACTCTGTAGGGTTTTGTTCCCAGAGCTATTATTATTTATCTAAATGTAATGACATGCCACCATGTGCTAAAAAAAAATTCAACAACCCATGAAATTCTAAACATTAAATGGCAATTATACTTTTTCCATTAGTTGAATACAAGATTTAACCAGGTAGCTGACTTTATTTATTTATTTATTTAATTAAATAACTGTATTAAAGTTTTATCTGATTCAGGGGCTTCGGGATATTCAGTTTCCATTCTTCCAGTTATTTTCACTGTCTTACCCTGATTCATATCTGTCACTAAGGTTAGGGTACAGACTTTCATCATCCTGACAAAAATGTCCACCTCAGCTGTTTCTGATATTTCAGTATCTCTGTGTTGGTTATGTTAGAAAATACATTATGATTTTGTTAGAAATACACTAAGAAACACTTGGGGTTTTCTATGTTGTGGCCTTCAGTCTTGTGGTGAGATTGCAATTGTGTTGACTCAGAGTTAAAAAAAGATTCATAGGTCAGCAGGTATGTAGTGAGAGGAAATTAGATCATGCATCTGAAATGCAATGTGAGGCCTGGGTAAAGAAGCACAGTCAAGAGCCTTGGACTCACTTGATGTGCAGCAAGGACCCTACAAGGAAAGAACCGCTTAATTTTCTCCTAGCTAAAGACAGACAAACCATCCAATTTAAGGAATTGCCAAAGCATTGCGATGCTCAAGCATTATCTAGATATGGCCATGTTTCTGTTAAATAAACCTGTGCCTTGGGAGATAGGCTATAAGCTGTCTTCAAGCTGAGAGAATTAAACACCTCTCAGGTGAGCCTGGCTGAAGCACTGTCAGCCCAAAAGCCAATTCAGACATTTCTTATTCAGAAATAAGTTGTGACTTCTTGAATACTATTTTCTTGTTTATATTTTGTATATTCTCCTATGTATTTTTTTTTATGTACAGAAATCATCAACAGTTTGACAGAAAGTAGTTTTTAAAATAAAAGATTTCTCTGGATTTTTTTAGTTTTCCTTCACTTAGGAAGTATTCAGTCCTAACAGGACCTTACTAGATGAACTAATCAATAGATTTACAAAGGAAGATAGCTATGTCCAAATTGGTGGGTTAGATTTTCTTTTTCCAAACTGTATTAATAAAAATGTTTGGTAAAACAAACTAAGCTTTCATGTTCATTCTAAAAGATACTATTTTTCTCTAATCTTCAAAACCTAAAATTTTACAAGTCTAAACAAAATATTAGAAGCAAAATCAGAGTTTCTAGTAAGTCCAAAGATTAAAAAACTTCTTTCCCTTTTGAAAAAAAGGATGGTAAAAACTATTTTGTTTTAAACTACAGGCTCAGAATTTCAGTTGATGAAACAATTTCAGTTGATGAAACATGAATATACTAAAATACTCTTGTATCATTAATTTTGCTGCTCTCAAACACTGATTTTTTGTGTGGGTTTTTTTTTGTTGTTGTTGTTTGTTTGTTTTAAATTTTACATGGCTTTATTGTACATAGTAATGTTCAACAATGAATCAGGAATTCCAGAATAGAAAGTAAGACGTACTACAGTTGTATTAGCCAAAATAACTGGAGAATAGCCAAAATAACTGGAGAAAACATTTGAAATATTTCAGTTTCAGTACTAAATCTACCAGTATTGAAAATGTAACAAAACTAAATAGGGAGTCTATTTTCTCATCTTATGTATGATTACATTAAATTAATTTCAAAAATGCCATTTCCCCCATGAATCTAAACAATTTACTAAGGGAATTGAATCAAGCAATCTGAAACGTAGTTGCTAGAAGTCAGAAGGGTGATGATGTGGTAAATTGCATTGGACAATGATTATGTTCTGGTTTAGTAGAGCACCTGTCAAAGTGCCTTTGTGAAGATCCGTATTTTCCAGTTTTGTCAGAATCTCTATTCTTGTTTTAAATCTGTCTGAAGAAGATTTACAAGCTAAATCCAGTTTTGGAGAGTCAAGATACACTTTTTCGTTTATCATGGACAGTGGTTAAAAGTTGTGCAGGAGCAAGGCTTTGTGTGGCAACTGAACTCTGTCCTTTACTTGTGCTCTCAGTAAATTGCTTGTGGTATAGCTGAGTGGAAGCTAGTAAACTATTCTGTAGCTGCTGTTAAAAAGGTTTCTTGGGTTGATGTTGGCATACAATGGCTAGCAAGCAATTAATGTGTCTTTCACAGATAGAAAAATGTAAAGTAATGGCATCTAAGAAGAAGCCCCTCTGGCTTGAATTTAAATGTGCAGATCCAACAGCTCTGTCAAATGAAACCATAGGCATTATCTTCAAACATGGAGATGACCTCCGTCAGGACATGTTAATTTTACAGGTATGATAGCTAAAGCTTAAAAAGAATAACATGAATATTTAAAAATATTTTAAAATTGTTTTACTTTTCCAAAGTGTGTATACCTTGTCTTCAATGTTCATGTGAAATCCGAGGATGTCTTTTGTATTTAAAACCGTATGGCAAGGGTGACTTCAAAACTGGATCATCTTTGTCATACTACATTTTTTTATGTTACTGTGTGTTATGGATTAACCCTGGTGGGATGGGAAAAGAGGAAAGGAAGAGTAAGAGCAAGAAAACTTGTGAGATGAGCTAAAGGTGGTTTAATAAACAAAGGAGAAGTGGAAGAACAAAGGAAGAAAACAAAGCAAGTGATGCTAAGGCAGTCACCACATGCCATGGGTGGACCAGGTCCCAGCCAGTCCCTGCACAGAAGATGGTTAACCTCCATAATTCCTTCCTCCCTGTTTTATTGCTGAGCATGACACTGTTCAGCATGGCATATTTCTTTGGTCGGTTCAGGTCATTTGTCTGGTTGTGTCCCCTCCCAGTCTCTCATGCACCCCAATCTAGTCACAGTGAGGCTGGGTGAGAAACAGGCAGCCTTGGCTGTCAAGCAGTTCAGCTGGGATACTGGGACATCACTGTGTTCCCAGCATTGCTTTGGTCACCCTCTAAACCTCAGCACAGTACAAGCTGCTCTGAAGAAAAGGAGCTTCATCCCAACCAGACACAGTGCATACTGTTACCCTGGCTTTTCCTGCCATATGCCATACATATTTCACATTGTGTTGCTCTAGAGACAGAACTTTATTTAGTGCAAGATGTTTCTCTAATTAAGTGTTTTTATCATTTATTTATGCAATAGGTGAAGTTAACAAATGAAAGACCAGTAGCTAGAATTACTCTAGTTTCAGATAACTGGTTTGTTAGGGCTTTTGGTGGTATTAATGGGGAATAGTGGGCATGCTTGCTAATACGTTCAATCTCACCTTATGTAGAAATCATACTATATATTTATTAGTATTTTATAGAAGAGTAGAGATTTCCTGGTTGCAGAACAGATGAAGATATGTAAACCCTGCTTCTATAACTGATTATCTTGAATGGCTGCACACTTTCTGTATTTATCTCTTAATCAAACAGCAAAGTAAGTTTAGCCCCATCTTAGAAGTCTGGGCAGTGTTATTTGTATGAGTAACCTGTAACGTTCAAATAATTTGAAGTAACTTAGCATATACATTTGTTTTTACCAGATTCTTCGAATTATGGAATCCATTTGGGAAGCAGAATCCTTGGACCTCTGTTTGTTGCCATATGGTTGCATTTCTACAGGGAACAAAATAGGTACGTGATCACACTTACTGTGATTAGAAATTCAAAATACCATATTTACAGATGTGTATGGCAGAACTACTCTAATATGTCCTGTAGTCCTGAGGTAAACAGCACTGTATTACACCTTCTGTGAGCAGCCTTCAGTTGCATCTTGGCCGTGGTTTTTGCCCTTCCTTGTGGCTGTGATTCCTGTGCAAAAGCTTGGCTTATGCTGCAAGTTTCTCTTTAAGAACATTATTTAGTATGAAACAGCAGTGAAAGTGAGTGACTTATTCAAGACATATTTTAGTGCATTGATAGGAATAAAATAAAAAGCAAAACATTTATATTTTTTCCTGACCTAAAGCTTCATACCCTATACCACATAGAAACAACAACATTACTTAACAGGATACTCAGGCAATATTTCTCACAGGGCATTGGTTCCTACAGCAGAGATGATCAATTTTTCAGAACCTGTGAAAGAAATTAAATAAGAAATCCCAATAAGACTCTTTATAGCTCTTTGATATACTTTTGTAATGTACTTCCTCTCTAAAATCCATTGCTACATAAAATTTTTTAACATCCTTTTGATTTCAGGATATCTCAGCAATGCAGGAAACCCAAAATTACTGATAAAATACCTGGTAGCATGACATAAGAGAGTTTATTTTCTCCTAATATAAATATTGTAAAATTGAATTATATTTATTGATATAATTTTAATAATAAAGGAAATGGAAAATTGTACATCAAAATGCTAGCTAACTATAAATATAAGGAAAGTTGGGGGGGGGTTTCTCTCCTTTAGAGGTGTTAAACCAAATTTTTAGAGAGCTTCTTAGGATTTGATTTAATTTTGTTTAAAATTATCTCAAGACAATGTAATGTGGGAAAAATGAAAAAATGAAGAAAGAATTCTGCCAGTGATTCTAGCATCTTCATACTTGAGTTACACATTTCTGTTATTCTTTCATGAATTCTTAATTGATTCCCCATTCTTCTGTCTCAAGGAAATACTATTTGGTTTTCCTACAGAGATGTAAGGATTTAGCATCCTTTTTGCACCACAGTGGGGGCATAGTTAATCATATTAACACTCATGCTTGGTTTGCTGAGAATACCTGCAGCCTAAATTAGTAAAGCCCAATGTAGCATACTTTGATGTAGAGCTTATGCTTGTTTGGAACAGAACCAAAGAGTAGTGGCTTGCAAATGTTCCTTCACAGTATTCGCATGTGGTCCTTTTCCAGGCAACTTCTTCCCTCCCTCTTAATACTTCCATGGAACTTGGGCAGTTTCTGTGTATTGACACAAGGACAGTACCCCACTCTACACTGAGGACAGGGAAACAGTTGTCTTACATCTGGGGCTGGCATCTCCTTATGCACAGAGCATTCTCATTCTGTTAAAGACATGCATCCAGTGCAGTTTGTAATTTTGGAAGCATCTGTCCTCTCCACTGCAACTGCCAAGCAGACCTGTGTAGGATGAACTTTTCTCTCTATCACTGGTAAAAGACCATATCCTGCTCTCTCTCCCTTTAACATGTCCATATGGTCCTGGCTCTATGAGGCAATTATCACTGCTTACTGTGCAGCATCCCTGCTGAAAGTGAGAAACTCAACCTGGCTCTTAGAAGAGTCACCTGCCTTGGTACCACAGCATGGTGCATTTCCTGCTGCACTCCTTCCCAGTTGAATGCAGCCCAGCTGAGAACTGCTATCCTTCTTGTGCCTCCTGAGCCAGCTCTGTTCCCCTGCCATCAAGGAGCTGTTGGCCGGTAGAGGGAGATTTGTGAGCACAGGCAGGGAAAGATTTTTTCAACAGCTGGAATGGGAGCTGGAGCTCATACCCAGGAGAAAAACAGCAGCTTGACAAGCACAGACCAAAATGCAAAGCTTTTTAATTTGATGGTCTTGGTGATGGATTTTGGAAGTCATATTTCCACAACAGTTTTATGGCAAACATATCCAGACCACTGTAAAGGCAGGTGTATTGAATACTCCTCCAGGGTGTATTCAGCCATGAATTCAGCCATGCAGACAGGGCAGGAAGAAATTGCTGTGTTGTCACTCTGTTACAGAAAAATTTGCATATAATTCAGTAATTGCAAAAGGGTGGGATTGTGAATAGAAAGAAATTGATCTGTTTCAGACAAAGTCAAATTGAAAACAAATCAGAAACTGCTTTGAATCACTTTGGAGAGAAAGGGGTGTTTTTGTTTGTTTGCTTATCTCTGAACTGGAGCTGAAACTCGAAAATACTGTTGAACATGAACCAGAGAAAGAAAAGAAAATATTTCCAACTACCAAATAAATTCAATTAAAATCTGACTTTATCCCTTACAGACATACCCAGTCTGGACTGCATTTGCTAGTCTTGGCTACAGGGCAGAGTTGTGTTGCAGCCTTTGTTTCTGCATTTCCCTCTAGCTTCCTCTCTGTCGCATGCCATGCTGGCATGAACAGGACAAGGCCTTGTTTCTGCACCATACTGCTGTAATGTGCCAGTTTGCCTTGGCAAGGGTCTGTTTAGGGACAGACCCCATGGCCCTGACAACCAGAGCGTTCCACCAGCAATCCCACTGCTGTAACTCACTGTGCACTGGTATTTCTGAGCTTTCTGCCTATATGCACACTTAAGCTGAAATTGGATTTGCTGCAGGAGGGCCAGCTCTGTTCCTCTGCCACAGCCCTGGCAACTCTTGCATCCCTAGACTGCAGCAAAACAAAAGCTTTTTCTCAGCTCCTTGTATTTGTGAAGCTGGAGACAAGCTGGGGAAAATGTGAATTGGGATCAGGACAGGAATACTTCCTCTCCTTGGGAAAAGGCTTATGTAGTGGGTCCCCATTCATCATATGATACATCCATTTTAAAAGAGGAGGAGTTTTGATGCCAAGCTTCTTTATGAACCCTTGCTGGTTTCAGCTGGGAACGAACAGGAACCATTGCTCCTTGTCAAATGAATTTCTGCTTACAGCCTAGAAAGGTCTGCAGTTGATTTTTAAACACAGTTTAAGATTGAATTTTAAATATTTTTAATATGATTTGATAAAAATTTAATAACTTCTTCTAACCTTTTCCTTATTTTCTTTAGGAATGATCGAAATTGTGAAAGATGCTACAACAATTGCCAAAATTCAGCAGAGTACAGTTGGGAACACTGGTGCATTTAAGGATGAAATACTAAACCAGTGGCTCAAGGAAAGATGCATGATTGAAGAGAAGGTAAGTTCTTTGAATTTTTAGGTAATTTTACTAATTTAGGAGCACAGAGCCCATATGTTTGTGTTTGTTACTTGCGGGAATTTGAAGAATCCATTCATTTTCCCTGCACTTAGCTGCGGATGTCTGTGAATGAGCCTTTAGCATCTAGCTGGCAGCCAAACTCCTGAGAGACAAGATCCTTCTGAAATCACTCCTTTATTAAGGGAAGTCAGAAGTGATACATGAGGAGCAGGTTGAGAGGAAATCTAAGAATACTGAGTCACAATGTGGTTTTAGAGGATTTAGGTTCAGGTTTGGGTGCTCACAACTCCTTTGGTTGTGTACATCCACTGACCTACTACAGCTTTCTGCCACAGTTTTTCCTCAGAATGTGTGAGCTGCTCTATGCTGCTTTTCTGTGCTGAGGGATAGAGCCAGGGCTGTGATCTTGATCTCTGCTGTGCAGTGTTGTATTTTATAAGGCAGTTTTCCTAACTGTTGATAGATACATTTCCACAGAAAGGTACATAACTTTGAAAATTATTGCATTTAGTGCCTAGCATTGAAGCATTTAACATCTCTAAGATTTATTTTTAGTTTCAGGCAGCTGTGGAGAGATTTGTTTATTCTTGTGCTGGATACTGTGTGGCAACCTTTGTACTTGGAATAGGAGACAGGCACAATGACAACATCATGATTACGGAAACAGGTGGGTTATTTTTTTGAGAATTTCATAGATGTGTGGATTGTCTATACTTCACTAGATTTATGTTTCATTTTAATAAATAATGCACTTACAAATGAATGAAGAGACACAAACCAACTCTATCAGTGGTGCTTACAAGGTCAAGTCCTCCGGTAACATTGAAATGTATTTTCACCCCTGTTGGCCTTCATACAGGCTGGAGATGCGTATCATTAATAATGCCATTATTTTCCAAGGAGCAGTTTGACACAAACTAAGTCATTAGAAATGTAAACCAAATTTTCTTTTTACTGTCTACATCTAAGGTCTGAACACCAAAAAAACTTCATAAAGCAGGCAGCTGTTCATCAACCTGATGTGTGGATGTGGTTCTGACAGTGTTCAGTGGAACTGAATTCTATCAGAATTCAGATGCTGCTGGACTGTTTTCACTTCTGAGGAATGTAATTGCATTGTGTACTGTTGTAAAAAATTTTAGGAAATAAGTGTACATGGAGTGGATTTGTTTTCCTACTAAAATCTCTGGGATGGTTGTATCTTCCTGAAGAAACTCAAGTTTTTTTGTACTATAAACTGTCAGAGTTACTTCTGTAGCTGTGCATTGTTCCATCCTTAATTTTACTTACCGATGGAAAGAACCCCAGAACAATCAGTACATGTGGAGGAGTTTTATTTAATCTAAAGAATTCACTTTTATTTTCATGATCCTCTCACTTCATAATTAGTCTCTGATAAGATATGGGAAAAGGTTGGATATTTAATATTGATTATATTAAAGTCAGTTCATCAATTGAAGGCTAGAGAGAAGTACCCTGAAGGCAGAAATTAGCTAGTGGAAGACTACAGTAAAAGTTCAGCAGAAGGCCTTGAGGAAAAAATGACAAAGAAATGCTTTAATTTCAACATTATATGTAATATAATGTGGTGTTAGTTCCCACTGGCAGAACATGAGGCACAGGTCAGCAGACAGGGAAACAGAGAAAGAAGTGTTATTTTGTTGTGGTCGTGAGCAGGTTTGCTTCAGAATTTTTAACAGGATCTGTCTTGAGCCTCAGGAGCCAGAAGAATCTCAGTCTGAGAGGTCTTCAGAGAGTCATATTTGGTAGGCTGGGGGAACTTGAAAGCTGTCTTAAAATCTGGAACATCTAAGGATGTTCCACCTACAGATCACTGTTCAGTATCATCTTACATAATTCGATGTTTTATCTTTTTTTATAAATATGCCACTACTACAAATCTGTGTTTTTAAGTAACCGTACTCTTGTATCCGTATCCTGGCTGCTAGTGAAAGTAATAAAGTAATGTGGAGAGTAGCAGCACACTCCAGTCCTGTAGGTGTAGTTACCCTTAAAAAGACAGGTTTTCATCACTTTTGTGGCAGCTGATGCTGTTCTACTCTCAAAGCTATCCAAAGGGTGACAATGAATACACACAGTAGTTTAGAAATCGCTAATGAAGGTCTGTGACAAGAAAACATGTTGTAGTCAATGACATTTGCCGAGGAGATGGTTAGTGCCAGAATCCCATGGGTATTTGAAGCCTAACCCTCAAGTCTTTTCCGTGTAGTGACGCTCTGATTATTACGGGGATGAGGCACAAGCTTTCCTTGATTGACTTTTGAAAAGTTGTAAGTGTATGTTTAGATAATACAGCAGTTCTTTTAACAACTGCCAAAAATAAGTAAGAATTTTGCTAAGAGGACAGAATTACGTATTTCCCCAAGAAAAGAAAGAAAATAGTCTTTTCTGCTGAACTTAAGAGTGATCATATATAAAAAAAAAAAACCAACACAGAGTTAGAAGTACTGTGAATACACGTTCTTAGCAGTTTATTGTATTTGTCTAAATGTGACTTCTTATTTTTTTGAAGGTAACCTTTTCCATATTGATTTTGGCCATATTCTTGGGAATTATAAAAGCTTTCTTGGAATTAATAAGGAGAGAGTTCCTTTTGTGCTGACTCCAGATTTTCTGTATGTCATGGGAACTTCAGGAAAGAAGACAAGTCTCCATTTCCATAAATTTCAGGTAAAAGAATAAATATCTAGCTGCAAATCAATTAAGCAATGTTTTTATACCCTCTGAAATGAACATTAGTGCCTTGGTTTTCAAAGATCTAGGCTCCTGGGTATTATCTTAATAAAATGCACTGAATCATAGTACAATTCTGGGATATTTTAGGCCCAACTAAGAGAAAAAAATTATCTGTACAGTTATGGGAACTAGAATTCAAACACTGACAAAGGCACATTGAAAAGCTCATTAGCAGCAGACCAGATAAGCAAGATAATTCTTTCTTTGTTTCTTGTCTTGATTGAAAACACTTTGCAGAATGCTTTAGTGTTTGTGCAATTAGAAGAAATTCACAGCTCTAAGCAGAACCTCTGCGGGGTATGAGCAGGTGTGAGGCATTCATCAGCTGGCTTTGCCAGTGTTAGTCCCTCCTGATTCTGCCCTCAAGTTCTGGGGCTAGGACTGCTGCCTCTGAGTAAAAATCTGTAGTGACTCAAAGCTATCTCAGATGCTGGCTTGTGAAGTGGATGGATAGATATAACTCTGAAATATATGAATGGTGTTAAAAATCTGTTCTATTGCTTCTATTTGAAATTAAGCGCTTTCAAACCAATTTTGATTATTTGAACTAGTGTAGGACCTGGTCAAAGAAGAAGTTCAGTATGCAATTCCTATGTTTAATGAAATTATAGAGAATGTGGTTGGTCAGAAGTACATGTATGTCTGAGATGTTATTATTCCTGTGGTCATCTTTAGAGACTTTGATAAAGTGTCTGATTTAGAAAGCAGGTTCCATATAATATCAAAAGAAAAATTCTTCTGTAGTGTGAGTCAAAACCAAAGCCTAACTTTCATGTTCTGGATTCTTTGTGGGTAAAACAGTCCCAGTATGGAGTCTGGTTTTCTAACCTGAGAACCTAATTAAGGTTCTTCCTGGTGGATGATGACTGTGTCCCTTTGAGAGCTGTATAGCAAATCTGTGTCTTATGTGCACACACACATACCCATCTCCCTTGTGATTGTCTGTGATGGGCAGTGGGAATTATCCTAAGATGATAGCACCAGGTGGGTCCTCAACGCAGTTACTTCAGTATTTTGTCTCCATTTGTGGCTGCATCTCAGTGCTTTTACTCACTCATCCAAAAATGAGTGTTCACCACCTTCAGGCTGGACACATTCTCCAGGTCTCCCTGCCAAGGATGGGGATCCACTTGGATCCTCTTGCAATTACCTCCTTATGGCATTCTTGTATTAGTACAAATCACATTGTCCACCAGAGACAATCAGAAGGCAGAGAGTATGTGTGGAGAGGACCCACGCAAAGAACCAACGATCTTTGGTTGAAGTCTCTGCCCATACTTCTGAAAATAATTAAAGAACCATGTGCAATCTTTGAACCTTCATTTTTGCTACGACTGCATTTATCACAGTGGAGGTGTTTTGAAGGGGACTCATAGATCAAAAGATATTAGGGTGGGGTTTGCCATGGGAAGGGAATGCTGAGCCCATGCTCTCAGGGAAGCCTGTGAGCTGTGCTGTGTACAGCAATGATGCTGTTGCTGCAGCTGTTAAGTCATGTGTAGGTGTGGGACTGAAACACCAGTGTGCAGTATGTCATTTCAAAAAAGACCTGTTCTGGAAGCAGAAAATAGTTGTAAGTTTGAAAGTGTGCTAATGGAGAATTGAAAGGTGTCTGCAAAAGGTAAAGTTGTTTTCATATCTATGGATCCAGATTGTTAGAGTGTCCTTTACTTCAGCAGCCCAAGTACCAAAATCAATCAGAAGTAAGTTTGGTCACAGTCTCTCTAGGTATAAAGAAAACTTCATTAACAGAACTAAAAGAATAATAAGAATCAGAATAGAACCTTCAGAACACTTATTCTCCCCTCCCCATTACCTCTTTTCTTTCCCACTGACAGCGTAGAGATGAAACCTGGGATTTTCAGTCAGTTACAACCTCTACAATAGTCTTTCATCAGTTCTTGCAGGGAGGAGTTTCTGTTGCCATGCCATAGAGACTTCTCCACAAGAAGCAGTTTTCTCGTGGCTTTTTAATTTCCACTGATAGCAGCCACCTGGAAAATCTGCAATTGTGAAGTCACTCCCATCTTTTACAGCTGTTTCACAGCTGCATTTATGGGCCATGTCAACTTTTAAGCATGACCTGTTCAAAAGCAAAGGACCTTCATCTATCTCTGAGATCATCTGCATCCCTGGGAACAGATATCTTCTTTCCCTGGAGGGCAAACGGTCTTCATTACTCTCATCTCTCTCTGTTCAAGCTTCTCATGGGATCACAGCTACTTCAACATCTGCTTTGCTTCATTATGAATGCCTCTGCTCATATCTACAGTTTGAACACTCCTTCCCCCCATACTTTTTCATGAATTAAAGGGGATATTCTAGTGTATCATAGTCCATCTCCATGGCCTTACCAAAAGAATTCCGGCCCAAGACTAAGGCATCTCCTTATTCTCTTCCCATCTGAGACCTGTCTCCTTCTTTACTGACCTTGGTGTCTTCATGTTGTTTCTCTACATGTTTTCCCTCTGTCCTTTTCTCTTACTCATGAGAGGATCGATGCTTTGCAAGTTTCATGTGTGCATTGGAGGAGTTAATATCTCACCCAGGCCTGCGGGCAGTCATACGATCTCTGCCGGGCTGCGGCCGAAGCTGCTTATGATGAAAGTTCTTTGGGACCAGGCTGGTGTCGTGCCAAGATCTCAGGGGGCCCGGCCAGAACAGTGGCGGCCGCTCTGGCCGCATGGCTGGTCCCTGGCCCTGCTTCCTTCAGTTTCAGCTGCGGGCCGATGGCTTCTCCTCTCTCTGCCCGGCAGCCGCTGGGGCTGTGCGGGCCATGGCGGAGGCCTGGCCCAGCCTGGAGCCGCTCCCGGGGCCCAGCGGACCCCGGCTCGGCCCGGGCCGGCAGCGGGGCAGGGCTCGGTGTC